AAGTTATAGGTGTAGAGAAAGTCACCACTAGATGGCGTTATGAGTAATGTAATCCCCAGGGATGTGTAGTATGCAAGAGATAATACAAAAAATCTCAAGGTTATATATAGCAACTGTATGAATTGTATTCATTAAGACCGTGTGGATGTTCCGTCCGTAATCTGAAGATCCAATATGTTTCCCTTTGTAGGAGTTTAATGTTAAAGTCCATGTATTTGGATTGTGTAACTACTTCTAATATATGGTATTTGAAGGATTCAGGATTATGCCGTAGATCATCAAAATGTTTATACAGTATGGAGTCTCTGGAATTAGTTCTAATTTTACTCCGGTGTTCTATAATCCTAGATTTCACTTCTCGACGAGTTTGACCAAAGTACATCAGATTGCATTCACAAATAATCATGTAGATAACTCCTTTAGTGGTACATGTAGCAAAATGGGAGAATTTAATATTCAATGGTGGGTGTTGGTGTGTAAAATTTTTTGTTTCCACCAATTGGTTACACACTGAGCAATGGTGGCACCGATAATTGCCAATCAGATTAGATTTCATAGTGCGAACATTATGTGTTAAATCTGAATGTACCAAAAAATCCCCGATGCTCTTAGTTCTTTTATATGCTATTAATGGGAGAATATTAAATTCTTCCATTTTGCTACATGTACCACTAAAGGAGTTATCTACATGATTATTTGTGAATGCAATCTGATGTACGTTGGTCAAACTCGTCGAGAAGTGAAATCTAGGATTATAGAACACCGGAGTAAAATTAGAACTAATTCCAGTGACTCCATACTGTATAAACATTTTGATGATCTACGGCATAATCCTGAATCCTTCAAATACCATATATTAGAAGTAGTTACACAATCCAAATACATGGACTTTAACATTAAACTCCTACAAAGGGAAACACATTGGATCTTCAGATTACGGACGGAACATCCACACGGTCTTAATGAATACAATTCATACAGTTGCTATATATAATCTTGAGATTTTTTGTATTATCCCTTGCATACTACACATCCCTGGGGATTACATTACTCATAACACCATCTAGTGGTGACTTTCTCTACACCTATAACTT